TTATATTTATACAAAGTTAAAATGCGAAAAAAAGGATTCGACAGAGATTTGTGAATAGAGATAGGGAATGAACAGAAAGAGAGAGGAAAATCGCTTTTATGCAAGCAAACCATCAGAAGATGGAAAAGTGTACAGTTTTATATATGAATTCATATGGATTGTAGAAAAGAATAGACGAGGAAAGGAAAAGAGGCGAGACATTGCTAGTATGTTGGGAAAAAGTATTAAAGCACTTTGACACTTTTCACAAAAATGCTTCAATGATTTCATGGCTTCGAGAGGCTCTTTCCATATCTTTTCAGATATTTCTAGCATGTATGTACTTGAGTATGTATACATAGATATAAAAAAGTATATATATCTATATATTGGAAAGAAAATTTTGTTGTAGAAAATATCAACGAATCTAGATAAAACAACAAAATAACACACATATAAACCCTAATATCCTTACGATATGTTAGGATTATATTAGAACCCTAAATTATCCCTATGCATTGTTAGGATCAGATTAGAACCCTAAACTATGGGGCCAAATTGAAAAAAAAAGAGAAACTTTCATTTTGATTTTGGGACTTTTGAGAATTATAGAGAACATAAAAATAGACTTTTATGCTAAATTTCAAGTCAATTCGTGTTGTTTCTGCGATTCTACGCCTGTTTAAAATTGAAAAAGAGTGAAAATTCTGATTTTTTTCACTCAGCCTTTAAGTTCATAGAATGTTACGATACTTGAAGATATCAAAAAACTGGTTTCAGTTCCTAATCACTTAATATAATAGCTTTATGTTTCCACACTGCTTGCTAGGAAAAGTGTAAATTTCAGGAAAACTTATCTTAAAACATGCAGCAATTCTGTAGTCCTATTTCTGGTTTTTCAGATATATCTGCACATTGAAAAATTATGACGACTTTAGTGAGTCGTTGAATATTCGATCCAAAAACTGATTCTAATAGAAGATGTTATTTAAAAAAAACGTGGTAACAACTTTCAAAGAATTTTTTTTTCAAAATGCTCTAAATTTGACAAGGTTTTCATTTTTGGCTGTAGTTTTAAGTTCTTTGGCACATAAATTTTCCGCTTGCTAGGTATACTGAGTTATTCGGGGGTTAGATTCATTGCCTTGTTCAGATCATTGTACGTGCTCGAGTCTTTGCAATGTGCAAAGCTTGCAAGTGACTCAGATTCCACTTTGAATTGTAGGTCTAAAGGGTGTAGTAGTGGTGAAGTGGTTTGTAAGTTTTGTATTAAACAAACCGGATAAAAGGTTGTTCGAATTAATATATGTAGTCCATTAAAGCCTGTTGCTAAAAAAAAATGTTGACCCGTAAACGGCGATGGCAATTGTAAACGGGGCTTCAATATATTTGTATGCTTAAAAGGCTGAAAAATATACTGTGATGAATGCAGAAATGATAATAAAGAAAATTGACTTTAAAGCAGTTTAGGGTAATATAGTTTCTGTTTATCTTAATTTAAGAATATAATGATTGCATGGCAACAACAATTCAATCTAGATATATAAAAATCTTGCTTGACACAAATATAAACGTAAAGTGTGATGTACAAAACAACAAGGTATGTTTGAACGATAAGTTTGATTATCAAAGTTTTTATCTATTTTCACCTTATTTTTCGCTTTCTCTTCCTTTCTTTCTTTCTTTTTTCCACTGTGCATGATATCAGTTTATTTATCGAGAAACTTTAATTGAATGACGAAATAATTTCAAATTCGACAGCACGAGGAGACACGAAATGTTGATTAAAACCAAATAAAATTGCTGATGAAATCTAATCGAATTACGAAATGACACAAATTTTGTAGCTTTTCATGATATAATTGGAAAAACTTTTTTTTCCCTTAGTTTTCATTGTTTGCCGCTCCTCGGAAATATATTCGAAAAATACACTTTGGATATCTTCTTTTCCTTAACATGCTGTTTAGCTCAAATAATTGTTTTTGTGTAGGAATTGATGTAAAAATTATTCTGTTTAATTTGTCAGTAAGTCTGTAAGACAAAATTGTTGGATTCATTCAATTTTAATCAATGGCGCTTTAGTCATGGAAAAATTAAAACAATTCCTTACCTCTTTGGCAAAATTATATTTCATTGATTGAGAAGAAAGCGGGAGCGATAGAGAATGGAATCAATTGAAATGCATGTATACATAGTTTGCATCAAACAAAAGTGATTGATTCACAGCAAAGCAGGTGTGATGATGAATAAATTTCATTTCACATGCAATGTGTGCATACAAACACTCTACAACTTTCACCTACATGAATTGGACAGAAATGAAATATCAGCATAAAACTTTTATGATTTAATTGTGATATGAATTCCTATTAGTAAATCAAAGTTAAAGCTTTCCTTGTACTGGATTGATTTTTCCAATAAATGCTGACTTAAACAATGAACATTTCATGTATTGTTGAATGTCGGGCTGCAAACTTTAATTTAATGTTTAAAATTTTACATTAATTTATTTTGTTTTTAAGGCAACACTTGCAATTTGATCCTGTTTTATTTTATTGACAGCATTATGTTCATTTTTGAAAATATAATTTTAATGAAACTATATATTTCAATGTAACATGAATCTTTAAATGTGTTCAAACATATTCAATTCCTTTAAATAATTATTATTGTAATGCAGTTGCTTTCAAATGAAAATGTTTTCAATCTTTTGCAGGTGATGTATAATTTTTTGCGATTTATTTAGATTTATTTTATTATTAAAGGTTCGTACATATGAATTTTGTGTGAGCTGAAGTGGCTCGCTTGCGGAATGGTTTAGTACTTCGTTACCTTATTATTGCAATACTGACACAACGATGGATTTTTAAATTCCAATAAAATCTTCCATACAATAGATTTAAATCAAAATCCCGAAAAAAAATCCCCATACAAAAATGATTTAAATCATTTTAAAAATCATTGCAAAAAGATTTTGATTTTGAATTTTGATTTAAATCACTCACCCTGTTCACAATTATACTTTTTACAACTTTTTAATGAGTTGAAATGTATAAAAAATCATTCGAATTGATTCACGGTAAATTATTGCATTTTAAATATAATTGTTTTCAAAGAAATTTCTGACTTTCTTCATTTTTTGTATTCTATCTTATTTTTTAAAAATAAATGGACATTATTTTTTGTTTAGTAAGGATTGTACAATCCTTACAATCCTCATATAGAAAGATTGTAGGAATTGTACAATCCTTACAATCCTTATATGAAAAGGATTGTAGGGATTGTAAGGATTGTACAATCCTCACAATTCGTATGGAAGGATTGTAAGGATTGTACAATCCTTACAATTCTGTTGGAGTGTCTGACCCTTGAGCTTTGTAACGTTTATTTTTTTACATATGAATTTTACATTTAAAGGATTAACATCAAAAGATTCACAAGCATTGAAAATCCAAACAGGATGTATTCATATTTCAGTGGTATTATGCAATTAATTCCTTGATTAATTTTTTTAATTAATATAAAATCTTCTGAATTCTTTGGAATAGATAAGGTAAAAATTAATCATATATTCTATGTACACGGATAATTGAAATGTGAATGTGTCAGATGATGAAAGGAATCATTTTCAGGGAACGTGTGAAACATTCATGCCTTTCCATATTGTAAATTGAATAAGCAAAGCATTCAACATAAATATGAAGCATACATTGACATATTGAAATTTTCCATAATAACTGAAATATGAATTTTCCTCTTTCATTCAAGAGCTAGCACTTTGAAATGCCTACACATGTAAAGTCACACTAGATATACGAATATACATCTATCTATGGATGAAAAGAGAGGAAAATATATGAATGGCATTTTATTTTTTTCTATCAGTCGCATATGGTGCTAAGAGGCACTCACGAGCTTTTTTACATTGTACTATATATGTATATTGTTGTGATATATTCAAAAGCTTTTTATTTTATGCTTTGTGTTTATTCCTCTTTTGTTGTTTAGTTATGCGAGAAAATCCATGCAACATAAAAGTCTGAAAAATGAGAAAGATATAAAAAAAAATTTCAACACTCAACAGTTTTTTTCTAGTTTCATTAAAGCAGCAATAGTTTGAACGCAAAAGTGTATGCATAAGCAAATAAATTTTAGGTTTAGCTCAGTGATTTTGATAATTTTGATATTTTTCGTTGCAATGAAAATATTTTTTGTATATTAAAGAATCAAACAATTTTTTTTTGCATTAAACCTCCTTAAACATCCTTGAATATTTAAATATAACAGTTAAGACTCATTCAATAAACTGTATTTTTTTGTGATAATTAACAACACAAAAGTCGAAAATGAATTAAGATGGTTAAAAAAGAGTATTTTTTTGCTGTTCAATTCATAGCACCTCGACTCTCAAATTGTATCTAGATACATTGCATCAGGGGCTTAGCCAGGAATTTGAAGAGGGGGGAACAAATTTTTTTTTGTATGGAAAACTTTTAGGGGGGGGTTCGAGTTTTTCATAAAAACTCTAGCAAAATGAAGAAATTTCTCAAGACGAAGGGGGATTTGTCCCACAAAGGCTGGCTACGCGCCTGCATTGCATTAATATGTCTTGTTCATACAGTTTTGCATATTTGCAGAAATTAATAATATAATTTGGATGTCAACGCATCAATAATAAACATTTATAATAAGAAAAGCAGCTGGTTGAACTGTTAAAAAATATAGTAAAAACATTTGTAAATTAATATTATTGAAATAAAGAAATATGAATAACGTTTAGCAGGTCATATACTGAGATCATATACTGAGCAAGTATTATATTTATAAGCAATCTGAAATTTAGTATGATCCTGAAAAATTTTTTACTTTATACGTATATATTAAATTTCAATGTTCATTTAGTTTCAAAAGCTTTAATTAAGGTTTTTATTTATTTATTAATATTTATTACGATTTGATCTATTTAATCATCTACAAGTCATAAATTCACAAGTAAATTTTTAAATTTATTTTACACTCAATTTATGATTTGTTTAATTTAATAATATCCAATCTTATTCTAAGTTATCACACTGAGTAAGAATGCTGCAAGAAATTGACAACAAATGAAAATGATGATGAACTTTTTTCTGTAAATATCGCTTCCGCTACTCGTCATTGAAATTGAATTTATGATAAAGTCCATATTCTCGTTCACATATCCATAGCTTCTTGTATGAAATTGATGTATGTCACTGACCTATTGTTGATAGTATTAGTAGTGGTATTAGTGATGTAATTTTCATTTTATCATGTTGGGAAGAAAAACGGGAAATAGAAATTTTCCGATAAGGATTGTGAAAAGGAAATGGTATATGAAAGGGATTATCAAGATTGGCATGATGGTTAAAATGGAGAGAAAAAAAAATAATTAAAAATGCATAGGGAAAAAATTCTAGGATCATGAAACTACTAAGAAAGTCATTTATGTAGACTAGTATAAAAATAATAAACATGAGAAAAGAATTTGCAAGTCCCAGGGAGAAAATTCTTTTTTGAATTATTTATGCTGTTAATAAATTCGCTTGACAACATAATAAATCGCGCGCTTGCATATCACACGAGAAACTTTCTTGCTTTCTTCTTTCATGCTTTTAGAACATTCTTTCACTGTTCTGTTCGTTCTCTTCCCCAAGAGCTAGTGAGTTAATTGCAGTGAGGAGAAGGAAAACAGGAGAAAAGAATAAAGTAAGAGAACATAAATTTACCTCATTCCATCCATAACGATTTTTTGCTTGCACCATCACCTCATACACAGAATTATGCTCCAACTTTGTTATAATATATGACATAACAAAGTGACGTGAATCATATCGCGAAACAGATGGATATAATACTAGTTCATTCCAATTTCCAGGTCGCTGATATGTTTCATTAATCTACATAAATATATCAATAGAATATAGTCGGAAGAGCGAGGAATGAAAAAAAATAAATACAGAGAGACATCAATTTATTGTGAGTGCCAAAAGTTGTCAATTTGATGGAGGAAATTTATGTTCTTTTAATTGATTAATTATTTAAATAGACTTTTTAATAGTGAGAAAAAAAATTTCTTAATTGTCATAATTTAGCATGAAAATTTCAGCCTCATTGCCATTTTCATCAATTAAATACATTTCCTCACGTCAAGTTATGTATGCTAAAATGGAAAAATTTAATATTGCCATCAGCAACACTAATGAATGTACCATCAATTTTCTGTATAGCAATTTAATCTCATCTAAATCGGGCAGCGATTCAATTTTAAATGTCAAATTGTATCGATCCAAATGACTGCTATATTGCGATGATAGAAACTCCGTTGGACCCGGCCTGCCTGATACCTCGATATATTTTTTTGTTCTCCCCAATGAATTGTCAGCGACACAACTATTTCGAGATTGGATTGAAAAAATAAAAATAAAATGACATAAAAATGAGTGCATCAATAAATAAAAAAATATATATATTTGTATGTGTATTTATGTGTGCTTTCCCATCGCAGGCATTGAAAGCAAGTCATGAATTAATATGAAAACAAACCATGTTGAATGAGACAGAAAGAATGAATGGACAATATTGTGCAAAGAAGATGAATAAATATATATAAAAATAGTTAATCAAACTGATTAATGGACCAAATCCCAGTCCGTCATCCAGCCAACCAACTCTTTTCGTATTTTTCTCCCATTCATCGACAATTAATTATATGAAATCAGATAATTTATCTTAAATAAAAAAATCACACATAAATGAATTTAATTTCTCATTTTTCATATGATAAAGATGGATATTTTATAGATATAGTGTGAAAAATCGAGAATATAATATTAATATTTATATGAATAAGGAAGAAACAGTAAAATCTGTATACCGTAGGTAATAGTCTGTGAATCTCATGATGATTAATGTTTTTTAAGCAAGTGTTTACCAAAGAACATATTAGTACAATAAAATAGAACGAACCTGTAGTTACCGAAATCTGTTGTGCGAAAATTTACTATACTAAGAATGTACTTATTTCCTCGTGAATACATTGTACGACGATCTGTTGGCTCGAGCATGAATGAGTTTTGGTACCATGAAACCTGCATGTGAATAGACAGAAAATACACATAAACATTGTTCTCACTGTAACTATAAAAAAAGTAGGGATTGTTCAAAAGTTAAAGCCACTTTAACTTTTTCCCCATCTTATGTTTTCCCGTTTGGCGTATTTTTTTTTGTGTGAACTTCGTTTGGAGATACTCAAACATGAAAAAAATTCCCTTTCTGCATTTTGATAATAAATTACAAAGTTTTTCGGGTGAAACATTGTTGGCAACATGTATCTTGTTTAAAAAAATTCTTCTACATCTTTTAGTATCTGTATACACCTTTTAAAAATTATTTGTATGTAAATAGTATGAATTGCTGCATGCTTTCTTCTAACATCTTTATATTGTTGTATCATTCTTATTTCTGCATAAATTTTTGAAATATGTCTTATTTCCTTTAGTTTTATTGCAATCTTTAAATTATACAATATAAATCACATGAAAATGTCCATTCAAATTAAGTGGGTATCAAATTGCTGCAGGACCTCTTTAAACAAATTATTAAGGAATTTTTGAAAATTTAAAGTTAAGAACTCTTAACTTTAAATTTATATTTAACAGCATATTGCAATCTGTTCATACAAAAATTGATTAGATCATGTCGAGGAAGTATGTAAACATGATAAAGTTTTAATAGTGTATCGAAATTTCACGTAGCAAAAAATATTGATTATGATATATTGGAAAAGTTTTGCCTTAATTGCATATCTATTGAGCTGGAAAATTTTAAACTTGAATTTTAACACTTCCTATGAGTAAATCAAGAAATAATTACATCTGTATTCATGTCACTTTGCAAAGTACACACGATCTCAATCTCACAACTCTCTGAAGCATGTATCCACTGTCGTTCTGTACTAAGTTCTGGTGGTGCTGTAAAATAAAGAAAAAAGAAAAATGTTTTTTAATGACAACAAAAAAAACAATCCCCAAACATAGTTTTCTAATTTATTCATGTCATCAAAAAATAGTAGTAGAAGAAGTTCAATTTGAAGCAGGAGTCGTAGTTAAGCAGAATGAGGCAAAAAGAGGCAAAAGTTTTTATATGTTTGACCACATCATCAAACGAAAGAGTTGCCTTTAGAGTGCCTTGCTGACCGCACTTTATACTGACACAACAGGAGAGTAGGTAATACTCGAAGTGATGGGTATGAGGTAAATTTTTTTATTAGTTTCGGTTGGTCAGTATAAAAGATGGGATACGAGAAGAGGTTGAAAAATAACGAGAGGAAAGATGAGAAAATCTACATCCAAAAAAAAGTTTTACTTTGTGTCTGGGCTTTTGCATATATTATATGAGAAATGTATAAAAATATATGGCATAGAAGAGAAACCGTTCTGCAGCTTCCCAGAAAAATGAAAAAATCGTATGCTCGATGATGCATTAAAATTAGAAAAAAAAAGTTTCGTTCCAAAGTTTTTTTTTTTGCTACAAATTAAATTATTCATACCGGATTTTAAATGCAATTTTTAACAAGCTCAACAAGCTCAATGTAGGAAAAGAAACTTACACAAAACTTTTAAATTTACATCCGCATAAGCAGCTTCCCGTACACCATTTTCCGCTTTACATTGGTATGTGCCTGAATGTTGTCTACCCACTTGTTCTAATATCAAAACGGGTCCCTCGCCAAGCGGCATTGATGAATGTTTTGCCGTCTGTTGTGAAAAAAAAGAAGAAAAACACCATGAACATGTGCATAGCATAAAAGAAAAATTGTTTTTGTGCATGACGTTGTATTGCATAAGAGATTTTTAATTAATAGTGAAAAAAAAAAACATTTTTTTTTGGTTCGAACAAAAGCTCTTTTGACGGTACATTGCTGTTTTCAGCGTTAACAAAATTGTAATTTGAATACTAATTTTTTGTGTTGGAAATTAATAAGCATCAATTGATGTTAATGAAAAAAAAAAAACTTTTGAGCATATTTGATCAGTAATGAATATTCATACCTTTCGAAACCAGTATATGTGAGGTGTCGGATTGCCAGTGGCTTTACACTCAAGCGTTGCAGTTCCACCTTGACGAGCTGATATAATTCCGTGGTCGGGAACAGATCGAACCGATGGTGGTACAAGTATTTCTAATGTATGAACTTGGTCACGTGGTTCAACATCACCTATCTGACAAACATAATCACCTGCGTCAGTTACTCTAACGTTAGATATTTGCAAATTATAGCCATCGATCATTTTAAAACGAGCATCCCTAGTGACCATTAAATTTTGTGCAGTCAACACCGCTGCACCACGCCGCCATAGCAAAACATATGATCCTAAATTTTTAACTTTGCATGGCAGAACGATTGTGTCTCCAACCACCGCTCTATATAAATGACCCTTCGTTATAAATTGTGGTTCATCTGTCCCGATATCTCCATAGTGATGTTGTTGCTGTTCTTGTTGTGGATGTGAATGGAAGCTTTCAGCGAAATTTTGACACAGTCCTTAGTCATTTTAGATGATGAAAAGAAAATAAGATGAGAGAAAAATGTCAGAACATTTTTGTGAAGAGAATTGATGGACTTAAATTCCCATTTGAGTGTTTACAGTAAAACGTTAAAAAGAGTAGTCCTTTCGCGCTCAAATTTGCAGAATGAAGCAAGCAAGAGAATATTAATTTATTTTCCAAAAAAATGATTGAAGGATGACAGTTTCATTTAACAACTAGTAAAATGCGCTTGTTGAAAAAAGGATTTGAATTTGTGTTTACCAAAAAAATATTATACAAAATTGTTATTTAGCACTTAGATGATCAATTTCACGAGGTATTCACAGCAAATTATATGTGATACTCTTTTTTTCGTTCATGCTTGTTTAATATTGATAGCATTTAAATGAATTTTCAATATTGAATTTGAATTTTCTATGTCCTATAAATATTGTACGATAATTCTTTATAACAGGGTTGGTTTGTTGATTACTTTAACTATTAAGAAGCCGAGACTCAATATGATGTATAATACGTAAAACAAAAAGGTATGAGGAAGAATATAAAGATTAAAATTAACCGAATATCAACTCTGGTAAAAATATCATGCAAATTTTAATTTTGAACAGTTTTTAAACTTTAATCAAATATTTGATCGAAAATTTGTTTGAAAAAAAAGTAAGAGATAAAAAATTCAATTCAATTGACCTTAAAAAATTATTTTAATTTTTAATGCAGTGGGATTTGCTACGCATAGACGTGCTTTTATCTTCTTTTCATCAAAAATAAACGTCAGAGAGCAGTATCATATAAAATATGGTAATGCAGTAACACTTGGTCTCACGAGAGTTCTTTAACACTCAAAAAGTTTATTTGCTGGAAAAATCCGAGTGTTACTTTTCTTAGTAGGTACACTTTCGCTGTTTTCAAGAGAATCATATTACAGGGCATAAAAATTTAATCAAAATCTTCCATAAAGTTTCAATTGTACAGTATATTAAGAAGCATGCTAGAGATTTCTTATGAAAAATTTTATATGGTTCGATTTCGACAAATGAAAGAAATCATTTCCAGAAAAGTCCAGCATTGCCTTTCAAAAAGTTATCAAATTTCACAAATTCAGAATTCATCAAAACCCACGTTCTAATATTAAAGTGCTAATGAAGAATAAAATGAAATTTTCAACCCCATAACACAACACTTTGGACAGCTCCACACACATAGAGATTTACTTCATTGTAAGACCATAAACATTGTGACAACATATAGAAGAGAATGATGTAGAACAATGAATTGAGTGAATAAAGCGATGAAAGGCATGAGAACCCGGAAAAAGTATTTCTATTGTTATTAAAACTTCTTTATTTCATATACTTTTCTCTCCTTTAATGTGTAGTAGGTGGAGAGCATAAATATACTTTTATACATACAATAACTTTTGCCTTGGATATTACAGATGGAAAGGCGACATTTAATAGATTTATGTTGTTGTCTTACTGCATCTTTCATTCAATTAAATTTATTTCGTGTTTATTGTGCTTAGCTTTCCTTTAGAAAACAAGACTTAATGTTACTTTTGCATATTATTATTTTTTGACGAAGTTTATTGTAAAGAACTACAAAATGTTGGCATAAAAGAATGGGCATAAGAATGGTGTAATTAAACATAACACATAAAGAAATGTTAAAAAGGAGAGAAACCCTTATAATATAGGAACTAAAAAAGAAAGGAAATTTCAGACATCCAACAAATTGCATTCAGTCACGCAAATAATCAATTTATGATTTTTCACTATTCATTTGCGTTTCACACTTGATTCTGTTTTGTGGTTTATGTTGCGGTATATGTTCGCATGAATATTTAATAAGGAGAGCATGTTATAAATTAATTGTACATCAGTATACGAGACTCATTGTTAGAAGTTAAACGAATGGAACTATCTTAAAATTAATTAGATCATAGGCTAAGAATATTTCATTGCTAAAGATAGAAACGCGAAAAATAAAATAATAAAAAATAGTCAAAATAGGGTGCAGTTAAAGTGGTAACACATGGCGGAAGTTGACTAAATAACAAAATAATGGAAAGCGTCATTCTTTTGTTCTTATAGCGTTATAAAAATTACGGAAATAATAGACCAAAAAAAATTAATGGTAAGAGGCAAAAAAGGATGCCAGCCTGCTGTTGATACTATTAAGACCAGTTGGATAAGAGAGGGGGAATTTGAATAATTACTATTGGGTTTTAACATAATATTTATTTTATTTTGTAATAATTACAGAGACCCTGCAGGACATAATTCTTTCTGTGCTTTCTCATTGTATAAAGTCTATACATTTGTAGAATCCCATTGCGTATAAATGTTGAGAAAAAGTTGAATTAAGAAATACGGAAATCTCTAAATTTCTAGATGAATGGGGAACGAAAGAAAAATTGTAGAGAATCTGGGGAAAAGGGATAAGGAATTTATGGATTATTGTTTTGTAATTATAGAGTAAGAAAAAAGGAAAGTTTCAATTTTATAAATTAAGTTGAGGATTTTATTTCTTCTTTTTTATTCGCTTTTATTGACAAAAGGTCACATTGAATAATAGCGGAATTGCCTCTTGTTCCATATTCTTTCATTCTTTCTTTCATTTTTAGCTCTTAATGCTGTTGGAAAATAATCAAGAGAAGCGATAGAAATTTATTGACATAATGGATTTCTTCTAAATCATTGAACCTTAATTTAATAAATACCAAGCTGAGATTTTTTTCTTAAGGCTCTTACATAATATTATTGTTATTTAAGGATTAACAGCATTGTCGAGTGTTTATAACATGTTCACAGCTTTTGTAATAGGCTGATCAAACTACTATTATCTAGAAAGATTTTATCATCAGGAGACCTTTAGTTTGGAGTTGAATCAGCGAAATTTAACTACGTTAAAGATGAAACTCTCAGCAATGGTTTTGAGACTTTAAAGGGACGTGAAAAAAGAGCACGTTCAAATTTGAATTTTAAATTGTGGTTACAATTTTTTCTGATTCATTATTCCAGTACAAGAGCAGTTTCTATTGTCTTCTTCTCTATTAAATCGACTTCTTGAGGCATTTGACAAGCAAGAAAAATTTGCAAGATAAGATTAAATTTACATTAAAAGAGAAACAGAAGAATAAAAAGTCGTGCCTTAGGCATATAGTGTATATATTCGCAAATATTACTTTGCTCAATGAAACAAAATAAGGAAGATAAAAAGAGGAAAGATTTCTGTATCCAACAGTCACATACCAATTGCGAATACGCGCATTCATGCGTCAAAGTATTATAAGGCGAAAAATGAATATCAATGATAAGGAGCTTTCAATCAATCTTTTTGAACGGAAATTGTCATGTGAAATGGGATTTTTCCAACATCCTTTATATGTATGGCGAATATGTAATTTTTATGTTCATTTTGCTCTGTTAGGCTTCACAAGGTACGACAGTTTATTATTATTTTTGCTTCCTTTACTTTATATATATATCTCATTTTAACTTTTTGTTTATTTCTTGTTTAAGATATTTTATATAAAATAAAATCTTTCATTTTACATGCAATAAAATTTTTCCGTTCCTCTTCCATTTCATCCCTTTTCTTTTACTTATTGACGATTCAAATGTTTTATTCAAAAGCCTTTCGAGAACGCTCTCAAGAAGCTTTCACATTAAGCTTCTAAATTGATTTTTAAAACGACAATTCCTTTCCTAAGGCCTCCTCCAAATATAAATTTAAAGATTAAAATTGAAAGTTCAAGAAAATCCTTCCCTTATTCAGTTTTATGGGAGTTTAATTTCATGTGACTTTACTCGTTCTTCTCATTTTGAAAATGCGTATATTCATCCGAAATGATGAAAAAATGTGCCAATATTTGAATATATGTGGTATATTTTAAGGGAAATAAAATGTTGCATTAAGAAGGAATATTCAAATATATCAGACATGATTTTCGATTGAATTTAATTCAGGACTGATTTAAGCCTTTATAAAATCTCATTTCTTTTTTAAAAATCAATTTCAGCTATTATAATTAAATTCCAAATTTTCACAAGTATCAACAGTATTGAAAGATTGCACGAAGTAAAGCTTTACAATTTTCTGACAATACTAAGCTATTTGATTTGGTTAACTCATTAAATTTAATTAAAAGTAAAAAATATGAACCAATATTGTGGTGAAATTCTATTCTTCTTAATCCTCTCATTGTACTTAACATGAAAATATTCTTGTAGATAAATAAGTTTTAAGGCACAACGGAAAAGTTTTTTTAGTCTTGAATTCTCTAAATGTAGCCTTTGGCTGTGTTAAAACCACAACAACCTTGAAAGTTGATTAACAAAAGTAATTATTTATTTCAGATAATCCAGTCGAACTGTTGTTCATTTAATAGAAAACGGAAGCAAAAAGAAGTGAAAGCAGCAGCAAAAGGAATAAAAACATTCAAAGAAGAAAAAGTTGTAGTAATGAATAGATTAATGAATAGATAGATACATTGAGAAAAATAAAGAGTCTGTTTCGAAGTAAATGTTGTAGAAATAATGATAACCAATTAACTAAAATCTCATTCTCATTCAATCATATTTTATTTGTATATCCATAGAACAAATAGAAAAAGAGACTGATAACGCATTTTGGCAATAATAAATCTTCTTAATATCATACTTCATTTCTCTCGTATCATTTCATTAATATTTCTCCTTCTCTTAATTTTCTTTTTTATTCTTCGTAAAGTCATGAGAAAGAATATGAAGTAAAGGATCATAACCAGCATTATCATAATAAAAAGAAGGATTTTTGTATGCCAAAAAAAAAACAACAAAAGAAAAAGGGTAGATTAATTATGTTAATTGAATGTCAAAAATCCGTTCTTACCATTGCGTCTTATGATCAGCAATAAAAACATCAGAATTGAGCTCCATAGCTTTTCCATTGTGCTTCTGAGTTCTTCCTCGTTTTGTCTCTACTAATCTTCTTCTTTCTGTCAATGTAACTGCGACAATTTTATGGCACTGATGAGCAAAACAAAATAAATTTTATTAAAATAAAAAGAAAAGGCATTGGAGGATGTTTTTGTGTTTACGCATCGGATAAGGAATGACATGTAAATAATTAATTATAATTAATGTGAATAAGCTGCTCTTAGAGATATTATAACACATAATATTATGCGTTGAATTGAAAAGCTTTTTTACTAACTCCCAAACAAAAAACTAAGGTTTGACTTTAATATCAACTGAATTTCTGTTTCTACTGTAGCAATAACTTATTTTAAAGTTTCTACAACTTGAAAATCTGAATGAGAAATTTCCACCTTAAAATAAAGATTTCCCATCTAATTTCCATTTAGTCAAAACTTGTTTGTCTTTCCATTTTCTTATATTTGTGGTTCTTATTAAATTCTTGCTTTCATGTTTCCATATATGTGCGTAGATTTATTTATAGCTTTTCAAAAGAAAAATTAACGGTGGGCGTGAAGTACAGCCGAGACCCATATCGACACAGTTCAAAAGTTATACCTAATTTATGTCATAATTATGTCAGCTACAAAAACACTTACTTTAAATTTTGTCACCCTCGGGAACACTATGAACCAGGATAGCTGATTTTGGTCCAAATCTCGTCCATACTTCACATTTATTTAAACCACATTTTCTCGTAAATGTTAAAATATTATTAAAAGGTAATTAATCCTGAATTATGTCGCTAATTTGTCAAGTGTTTTAAGATAAAGAATTTGTTTTTTGGTTTCCACAGTGAAGAGTATGAACAAAATTCAGATGGGGCAGTCGAAATTAAAAAAAGTAATATTGGTATGTGATTTATGTCAGAATTATGTCAATTCAAATAAAACATCCAAAAACTTTTTTTGAGCAAAGAAACAAGTAGGAAATACATTTTCAATTTTGGACTAGGGGCGACCCTAGTCAAAATCAATTTTGTCACTTTTTTCTTTGAGGGTTTATCCAAATGGATTAAAACTTTGCACAAATATTCTAATGCTTAAAAAAAATATAAATAAAACGTTCTAAATTTTTTTTGAGCAAAGAAACAAGTAGGAAATACATTTTCAATTTTGGACTAGGGGCGACCCTAGTCAAAATCAATTTTGTCACTTTTTTTTTGAGGGTTTATCCAAATGAATTGAAACTTTGCATAAATATTCTAATGCTTAAAACAAATACAAATAAAACTTCTTAAATTTTTTTTGAGCAAAGAACCAAGTAGGAAATACATTTTCAATTTTGGACTAGGGGCGACCCTAGTCAAAATCAATTTTGTCACTTTTTTCTTTGAGGGTTTATCCAAATGGATTAAAACTTTGCACAACTATTTTAATGCTTAAAACAAATACAAATAAAACATCCTAAAATGTTTTTGAGCAAAGAACCAAGAAGGAAATACATTTTCAATTATGAACTTGGGACAGGTCTAGTCAAAATCTAGTTTCCTACTTGGTTCTTTGCTCAAAAAATTTTTAGAATGTTTTATTTGTATTTGTTTTATGCACTAGAATATTTATGCAAAGTTTCAATCCATTTGGATAAACCCTCGAAGAAAAAAGTGACAAAATTGATTTTGACTAGGGTCGCCCCTAGTCCAAAATTGAAAATTGATTTTCTATGGTGTACTTTGGTCAAAAAAATTTTTTGGATGTTTTATTTGAATTGACATAATTCTGACATAAATCACATACCAATATTACTTTTTTTAATTTCGACTGCCCCATCTGAATTTTGTTCATACTCTTCACTGTGGAAACCAAAAAACAAATTCTTTATCTTAAAACACTTGACAAAATAGCGACATAATTCAGGAATAATTACTTTTTAATAATATTTTAACATTTACGAGAAAATGTGATTCAAATAAGTGTGAAGTATGGCCGAGATTTGGACCAAAATCAGCTATACTTGTTCATAGTGTTCCCGAGGGTGACAAAATTCAATGTAAGTGTTTTTGTAGCTGACATAATTATGACATAAATTAGGTATAACTTTTGAACTGTGTCGATATTGGTCTCGGCCGTACTTCACGCCCACAAATTAACGTAGTATAATATAAATCCTTTATACTGTATGCATGTGTATGTTAAAGATTAAAAGTAATTTTACGGTAGAATTAGCACAAAATTAATTTAATTGAAAACTTTACTTCTCATTTTTAGCCGCATTTTCGTAAGATTTAGGAAATCTGTCTGGTTAACCTAGTTTAACCCGTATTTTTGTTATTTGAAGCTTAATCTTGGTTTAAAATTGACACAAATTTTAAGAAATTTTTATTAAGTGATTGAAATTAGGACTGTAAGAAAGATGTCATGTTTTAAAAGACGTCATTCATGAATGATCTTTTGAAATCTTAATTCTTGCTTAGATAAATTTATATTCAGTGCGTCATTAAACCTTAATTATTTTAATGTGAACTGATCTTAGTTGTAGCAACGATTCAAAAAGCCAAAAATGTACAATAACCAACAATAACTTAAAAGTGATTAATATCTACTTTTGCGGTTTAATTAAAATTTTAGGTGTGAATAAATTTTATTGTGGCATTTTCATTCGACAATGTCAGCCTTTTCGCAGAAATTGTTATTTCTGTAACTTGAAAAAAACCAACAAAGGAGAATAAAGGAAGAAAATGTGTTTTAATTACTTCTCTATCTCTGTCCTATGCTAAGCATTTGCTTAAAAATATCTTCCTGCCTTTCGGCATTACAATCATTTAATTTGATGAAAAAATTTATTCTCGTATTCTGGAAAATTGAAAATTTCGTCAATTTGTACTTTTCTTGATTGTGAATCCTTTTATTTTACTTAAGGCGAGGAGCAAAAAAGGACACAAAAAGTTCGTATTAACTTAACTTTCTGCTCATTTCTATGTTCAGTTCTTGTCTCATTTTATTCTCATTAGTTGAATATAAATTTTTGTGAAATTAAATTTAATGAACAATACGAAATCAGTTTTGTACTAATTAAAAAGTTCCATTTAATTGCTACCTTATGGATATTTCGTTTCTCTTGGAATATGAATAGATACAAATATACACCAATTAATATGCCCTTTCAGGCGAATGAATAATTTCGCTGAACAATTAGGTACAGAATATACATTTTGATACACATGACGATGTTGCTGAACAAAAGGGGGTAAAATGGTATTTTTTTTTCTCCATTTGATGATGAATATTGAATTTAAATACTTTTATGATATGAAAATTTTCACAGTAATTATGTACATATTAGATAAAGAAAATTATGCGGCGTCTTTGTGCCTTGAAGGAATAAGAACAAAAAGTGATATTAAAACGGAAATAAGGGAGAAAATGACAATGATGATGAGAAGAAAAAAAAATAGAAGGAGATAAAATGTCACGAACGTATATATCTTGCGAGTGATTACTTCACAATTACGTTTTGCAATCAAAAAACGATAAAATCTTTGTGAATAAGGCACACAATGCATTGTTAACATTTTTTTAAGAAAAAAGCAAAAAGGAAATAGATAAAAGTTTTGTGAGGATAATAAAATTAGGAGTAGAATGCTACTTTTAATGCAAGGGAGGTCATCAAGCATATCGCGAATTAAAGGAAGACGAGAAGACAAAGTTTATAAATGTTTGGCTCCCCAAGAGCTCATTAAATTGTATATAGAGCAATTGATAGCGGCCTATTGGTACATACTTAAAGCAGTCAAAATGTAAGATAAGTCAAATGAAGCATAAAATAATTTTTCGCTCTTTATCACCTTGCTTCTTTTTTTAAATATTATCCTCATTGCCCTCTTATACATTCTTTATTCATTTGTTGTCGCTGAACAACCTAATGCAGTCTCATACCCCAGTCTAATATATATTATTCTCATAAAAACATTGTCCTTTCCATTTTCATTTTCGACAATTTTCGTTTTGCTGTGCTAACAAATTTAAACAAAATTAGAGAACGAGATAATTTTCTATGCGGGTGGTGTACATTGCTAACAGTACCGACACAAAATTGTACACGCTATAGGAATATGAAAAAAAAAAATATTATATATGTTGATGGTGATAAGAGCTCATGAACTATTTTTCCTTTTCCATTTTTGTTCTGTGCGTTTTGATATTTGCACTTACGAAGCTTTTTTTTTTCGTCTGAAAGAAAATCTAATCGAGAAAAATTGAAATAAAAAGTTAATTAGGGCATGTGAAAGCATTTACTTTATTAAACATTCTCGAATACGTAAATCAAATGAAGAAAAAATGGACTGAAAAAATCTATTTAAAAGCTTTAAACAAATAAATTTTTTTGTATTTTTTCCTACACGTTTGAAAATGCAAACTTTCAACACATAATAATTAAAAAAGGTTCCAAATATTAATGACACTTTCATTGAGTATAAAAGCATACTAATTACTTAGGATTTGTTGCCATTTTATAAAATAAATTTGAAACCTTAAGAGTGGGAGGAATATAAATAAGAATATTGGAATCATAGCATTGCACATAAAGTTTTAATAGACTTTGGTCTTTCAAGAACTTTTGAATAACATTGAGTCAAAATTATGTACATAAGATTTAAGGTGTGTTAGTCTCAAACTTTTTTAAATGTTTACCTTCATCACAATTAAATGAATTTCGAATTAAGCCTCAAACAACTTTTTCATGCTTCTTATTTTCAGATCAATACTTGAATCTCAATTGGAAAAGATTAACACCTTTCAATGATACTTATTTCATCTGCTGATTATAAATGGCCATTAAATCGATGCCGATGGAATGAAGATAATCAATTAAGAACTCTCGAAAAATGCGTAAATACCCGCTTCATCTCTAATAAGAATTATGACAAATTGCATTTAAAGGATATTTTATTTCTTTTGAATAAATTTACTTATTGAGATAAATACTGAAACGAATACCACTGAAACGAAAAGGTCTAGGAACCACCATTCAATCGTTTGTAACATCATCAAAAATTAATCAATTTATTTCACGGGTTTCATGAATAATCAGGAAGAATGGTTCGTTACACAAAGGTAAGTAAAACTTTCCAAGAGTTTGAATAGCGAGAGCATACAGTAATTGTTTACATAGAAAATTTCATGTTTCCTTTATAGAATAAAGAAATACACCGTAAAGTATGTTTTTCATCATCATCACAAATTTCATTTCACAGCATGTATGGAGCATATATAAGAATCACGAAAATCACTCGCAGCATGAAATTTTAAAATCTTACATTCTACACACATACACGCGTGCTCCCTTTTTTATTCCTTTATGTATCTTAAATTTCACATCAAGTTTATCAGACAAACGAGAGGTATGATAATGTTGAGGAAGAGAAGGAAATCTTTCTATGATACATATGCATATACATACATACGATATTAAATTGCCTCAATCCAATTGTTACACAATAATAGACATGAATCTATGTTTGATCTAAACCACAAGACAATGAGGATGTAAATGGATAGAATAGGAAGAAGTAAAGAGATTTGTGTGTATTTAGGCTTTTCAGGCTTCACCATAAATAAGAATAATTCTAATTCAATCGATTATTGATTGATTTATTGAATAATACATTTTACCAAAATTTAACAAAATGCACACATAAATTTTTTTGTTGTGTATAGGAATAAGTGAAAATCACATATATACAAGTTAAAGATATAACAATGTGTCTGCCTAATTTTCACAACGAGAATGAAATAATGAATGATGGTTGTATAAATGGATGGATGGAAGTATAAAATTAATATTGATGATATTGATCATAATACCAATAGTCATCCGTATGGGAAATAAGACGAATAAATCAGAATTATATTAGCAAGTTGTGAATCACAATGGAATGTGAATTAGCAAATTGTATAAATTTAAAAAAATTCGCTTCAACTTGAGCTTGCTTTAATGCAAAATCGAGTTTTAATTTATTTCCTTTTTTTACCTTCTATGCATGTATGAAAAGCCATTTTTCACTCAAACGAGCTTCGCATTAAAAGATTTATTGATTTTTTTTATTTGAAATTTTCTGATTGTAAATTTGTAATAACCGTATTTTTTCATGAATTCCCACGACAAATTTTCACTTCTACTCTCCAGTTAATTTTTTTTCTTAGCGTATAAAAAATGCTACACAAACATCTGTGTCCGAACTTTTACAAATATCATTAGATTTCTTAGCTGTAAGCTTAAACTAAATCCAACACAAAATAAACAAAACCTAGCCCAGAGAAATATGTTGATTCATGCATATAAATCTGTTACTTGACACATTCTTTAATTTATCCTGGGAAATCGTTAGGCTGTTTCCAAATTTTTATGAACAATATTTGGACAAGGTACAAAATTAAGTTTGATGCTCTAATGATATTCTTTGAAACTTTTTGGATTTGATATTTTTATTTATGCCAATTTTTTGAGCTCAAGTTTTTAAAATATTTTATAGCAGATTTGTAGAATTTTTAACAAAATTAAGACTTTTAAAAGCAAGCCTTTGATAAATTAAAAAAAAGAAAAATTTCTTCAAAGATTAATTTTAATAAAAACTTTCAAAAAATTAAGTTTTACTTCGTATCAAAAAGGATTTTATGAATTTGTTTCAGAATTGATATTATTCTTTAAATTACTATTCCTCTATCCTAAAGTCTTTATTTCGAGATGATTCAGTGACAACTTATAAACTTCGCTGATCTAAAATGGCAAAAAATATTTAAAATCATTATTCAATTATCATTCTTTTTGATAAATTAATCAGTTTTCGTCAAACTTTTCAGGGCGATATCAGCATCTTTAATTTCTCAACACACCCTAATACTTTTTAAATACTTGTTAAATGATTTTTTTTGATCCACACTAAAAACAGTCATATCTATTTAGTTTTTACAGCGAAACACATGTAATGAAGCAACGACATAGGAATGTGTTATACAACTTAGTTTCAGGAGTTTTTAAAAAAGGAGACGACAACAAATTTTCGTTCTAAAATGATTAAAATTTCAATAAATTTTTATCTTCATGGTTATGGTAAAAAATAGCAGTAAGGAAATACATAGAAATAGAAATCAGGATGAAAATCTTTAATTTAATTGACTTTTCAAATTTTCTCAAAGACTGAACAAATTAATTTCCCTTTTCACGATTTAATCTTTCACATACAAAATTATAGAAGGTTTAAAAGCAAACAGTACAAAAAGCCACACGTTTATTGGAGTTAATTTGCCACTTGTGCCGCACGTGAATTTCTACCATAAAAATATTTTTTTAACCCATTGAAAACACAAAAGAACAGAAGAGAAAAGAAAAAAAATGTAAGGGAAACAAAAAGAAAATTATGCAAGTGTATTTTGGGTAAATGTGGATAAACCTCACATAGAAAAACAGATAATTATAATATGTATGTACACACACCGAGAGATGAAAATTTCTGGCAACTTTAATTTTCTTTCTGCTAATTTTATAATGGTTTTTGGGAACGAGTTCACATGTTCCTTAATTAAGGGTATTTTTCTTATCTTTGTTTACTTTTTTTCGCCACTTTTGAAAGCACATCAAAATATTTTTCATTAACGTTTATGCTTCTTATTATCACATCAAATATTTTTTTTCTTAATTATGCTTTAGGTCACTAAATCTGAATTTGTTTACAAAATAAATTTCCATGACTTAATTTGCTCATAAATTTTTTTAAATTGCTGCTTTATATCATGATTAAAAACTGCCAACGTCTTTTTGACTTATAAAATTGCTTAGTTGAATAAAATTAACATGTCATCCTCTAAGCCTCACAGTATCACACTCATTCCTTATATTCTGTTATTTCGACTATACTTAAGTTATTTCGAACTTGAATACCGGACAGCTGAAACGAGACTAATTTTTGGCGCATAGTGAAGTTGATAAAATAACACAGAAAAAAGAAAAAAATGAAACTTTTCCTGCCGTTCGCCTCTTGACGTTCCTCTCTGGTTTCATATAAAGGCAAAAATGCGAGATTCAGGCAACATTTTCTCCCGGAGCAGAGAATAACATGTCAAAATATTTTCCGATAGCATTCAAACATGTAGGGATGGAGAAAAACTTTTGATTCAATCACAAGCTATAAAGTTTTTCTCAAACATTTTTTTTCTTCTCTTGTTGCTCTTATCAGCCTCATGCTCAATTATGGCTGTTGCATTTTCTTTGATATCACTCTCTCTCTCTCTTCTTTTTGTATTGAGAGTGAAAATTCTGGCACAGACACTGACTGATTATAATGATGTCACGGATGAGTAAGAAAGAAATTTGTAACATTAAGAATAAAAATCAAATAGAATTTCCGTAGAATTGAGCTTAACTTATGGAGCTAATGTTACGGACATTGATGATTAAATTTCTAAATCAATAAAGAAATATTTTTTGTCTATAAAAAAATAAAGGAAAAGTGAAGAATTGGATAGGAAATTGCAACATTTCTACTTCATAAAACTCAATTTCCGTTAAAAGTTTCCGAACTATCAATTGAGGTATTGACTCATATTTACCGTTCTCCTTTCAGTATGCTTTTCACGTATTATTAAAAGCATATATGATGTATTCGTGAACCTACATATTCATACATGAAATGACATTTATACACAAAATGTGTAAAACCAAAGAACATGAATCACATCACGTGTGAGTTTTCAATTAGCCTAATAGTTATGTACTTATGAAATCTTTATGACTGAATGGTAAAATTGTTTCTTTTTTCTTTACACTTCTTCTTTGACCAGTACGGTTTAGCAATTATTTCAGCAGCTCATATTGTTTTTACTTAATTTACATCAAGGGATGGGCATATATATATATATATTAGAGGAATTTTAAAAATATTGATTTACAAATGCTCTTGGACTCTTTTAAATTATTTAAAAAATACTGGACTCTAGTTCTATAACAAAAGATATCATGTTCTCAAATTTTGTTCTGCCAAGGAAGTAAAAATGTCAACAATAGCTCAGAAACGAAGGCGTTTATGATCATAAAAATTTGTTTGCATGTTATATGTTAACTCACACGTTATGGATTAGTTTATTTTTAGTTGTAAAGTGAGGAAATAAGTAAGGCTGGCTGAAGAAAGGCTAAGTGAAATTGAGCAAAAAATGGGAAAATTGAAATTGAATATGGAATTGAAGCAACTATAATTAATAAACATAAAAAAGGTATGAGAAGGAGGAATGACTGAGGTCGTAAATGACTGAAAATGTTGAAATTGAATAAAATCACGCAAATAATCAATTAAATATTCGCACTCATGTTATGTTGAGGAAGTCGAGTGAAAATATTGAGAGAAAAAGGAAAAAAAATATAGAGTCGGAAGGCAGGTAATGATATGGTATTGTGAAAATAAACCATGTTTACTAGCTTTTCCGATAATTAAAGGATATTTTTCTTATGATCACAAATATACAATAAACCACGACATGCATTTCTTATTGTAATTAACGTTTACATTGCGTCTCATGTTTTTAATGTTCACTCCATTCGTGCTCGTTTGATTCATTAAGTGTCGTTAAATTATAGACCGTAAATACATTGGTCAGACTTTGCTCATAATTTACTTTTTCTGCATCCTATTTATGCTTAATATAAATGGAATAGTGATTTCTTTACCGCCTCACTCATCAATTCTCCATTTTATTCGACATTCATCATAAAAAATAGGAAAATTGTTATTTTTTTACATTTTTTTATGAGATTATCTGATAAGCACTTTTTCTATAACAATATGCAAATGAACACAACTCAACCCGTTAATTAATTCGGCCAAAGGGTGTTTTAATGAATTTTAGTCATGTGGTGTGCTATACGATTTCTATTAACTTTCTATTCGGTATGTCGTTTGACGTTTCGGTTTTAGAATTCTTTTCTCGTATACATGCTGTTTGTAAGTCTTTATCAACTCATTCTAATAATGTTTAAATATCGTCACATTCCATGTGTTTTAATGTTATCATTTGGTTGAACGTTCATATCATCCTGAATGTGTGTTTGTGTGTGCGGTTTTTCATTTTAGGGACAAGTTTTGACAAATTTAGTAACACTTTGTGGTTGGAGAAATGAAAATTTCATTTTACTGATACTTTCATCACATTCCATAGTATCTATTTGATGAAGGTTTCGTTTAACCCTAAAACGAGTGTGCTTAAAAAAGAATTATTTTATTACTTACAGAAATTCAAGTTTGATACTCATTGTTCTTGAAGTTTAATGTATTTCTCTATGATTTAATTCCATTTTATCCATAAAATGAAAGTTTATGTCCTATTTTTTACAGTATTTAAAATTGAAATTTACTAGTTAAAAATAACAAATTATATCATTTATCCTATAATTAAACAATTTGATTCCAAGCTTAATCTATTTTGTTTCTTTATTAAACTTTAGAATGGAATCAAAGGCTCATCAGGGATCTGATTGTAGCTGACATATTGAAGTCGCATAAAAAAACGAATAAATCAAGAAAAAATAAATGAAAATCAATCTCAACAGAAGTTTAGCTAGAGATAGGATGAGGAGAAAGGAATCTTATGTGCTTGTGTATGAAGAAGAATGAAAATGCGATAATAAAAAATCTGAAAAAGTAAATCAATTCAGTCAGTAAGAATGAGAGATATGAATTGAAGTGGATAAAAAGTTTTCTAAAGAAACTTGTCAAGCGTGTGGATGATTGAAGGGTCGTCCCCGAAAATCTAGTTAAAATACAATTTAAAATAGAAGAAGAAAAAATTCCTTTCAGGCAGATTTTTTCCTTTCCTCACTGCTCTATATCTATAATAATATTTGATTGTACTGATGATAGGCAAAGAGCAAATATTGATCTGGGGAAATGAGAAAAATAAGGAAGCTATTTATTAATGTTGAAATAACATTTGCCTTTCTCCTTCTTCTTTCCCCCTTCACATCATTTCATTTTCATTTTAAACATATATATGCATCGTGCCGCAATAAAAAATCAATCTTTAAAGTTTTCCCTTTCGTTCATTTCATATTTATTTTCGATTTAAATCTTATTCCAAGATAAAAGAGATGGGAAATTAATTTCTAATTCTTTCCTTTTTCAATTGAGATGAAAAATGCTTTTAGCAGCATTAATGTTGGAATTTTTATTTGAATTAGAGCATCTTTTGATGATAACAAGGTTAGTGGTGCAATGTGTTTGTTGGACAATTGTGTCACAGATTAAAATTAAAGTAAAAAATGAGCATGCAATTCAACATGTTCAATTTCAGTTTAGTCAAGAGCGGTCATTACCTAGGGTGACCATCTGCGTAGTTTTACAACGGACAGTCCTGTATTTCAAAACCCTGTCCTGTATAAATTTGAAAATTTTGTTCCAGGTCCTGTATTTTTTTCACGAAAATTTCCGTTAATTTTCAAATTTTCCTTTGTGTCCTGTATTTTTTGGGAAATTTATCAAATGTCCTGTATTTTCATAAAAATTAGATGGTCACCCTATCATTACCTTAACATTTTATGTGACAAGAAATTACACGTTAATGATAATCAATAATAGAATCGAACATGCTATTAAATAAAGACCATGTTTACGAAGATGAATTAGAATGAATATAAAAATAAGAAAATATGATAGTAAAATAAATTTATGGTTCATCAACAAATCAACTTTATGGCGTAGAAACAATATAATTTATGTTTTCTCAATGAGCAGATCTTATTAGCTAATATAACAACACTTGATGTACAAAGTGTTAAAATGAAGCATTTAAAAAAAATTAATAACTTTTAATGCAATAGTTTGGAGATATATAGTGGCTCTTAAAATTTCATATTATTAAGCACATCAATTTCATATTAATCATAATAAATTTTAAAAAAGATCGAATCATTCAACATTTAAGTTCATCAAAGAAATTAGGATTCAAATTTCATCCTCCCTAAAATTAAAGCTTCACTTGATTGAAATCTGTTCTAATATAAAAATTTCTTATTACTAGTGAGGGGTCGTTCAATTATTACGTAACGATAAAAACGACTTTTTGATGTTATATAAAAATTTGTATGAAAAATTTTTTTTGATTAAACCTTGAAGATTACCTTACAATCGAATATTGTCAGAACAGACCTGAAATGTATCACGTCACGCCCACATAAGATTGAAACAAGAGCCTGAAATTAATCGAAACCTAGATTTGAAGGTTGGAAGCTTGATTCTATATCACCTTAAGTGATATCACTAATCAATGTAAAAAGTAAACATGTATTAATACAAATTTTTCCGGGCGGTAACGTCGACAAATAAATAAATAATAATAAAAAAAAGAAAATAAGTTAAGAGTCCTTAAAGCGGAATGACAGAATGTTTCAAAAAAAGTCTCTATTTTTAACCTTTAGATTTAACGTTAGCGTTAATTAATGAACAATTATTGATTTTTGTGACCTCGCTTGTCTATTTAATTTCTTCAAAAATTAAAATTTTAAATCTTGATTTCAAAAGTTTAATGTAAATTAATGTGCTTTGATATTTTCTTTTTGGAATTAAATCTTCAATTTTAAAAAATCATTCAAATTTGAAAAACAATTTGACTTTTCATACATTTTTTAATATTTTCCAGCAAAAGT